CTGTTTTGTTTTGTTTTTTTTAAATGTGGCATTGTGAATTAAATCTCAGTGCTCTTTTTGTTGTTATTTATAATATAAAATCATACTCAGTGTCCAGCAGTATAGGAATTGTAATATTGTTACAGAACGTAGGCTGGTGAAACTGTAAAGTTATAATAGCCTTTTCTGGTATAGAAAAAGTGCAAGGATTGTTTTTACCATCTGGAAGAACACTACAGATTTGGACCCTGATACATCTCTATTCTGATTCATTGATTTCCTAACATTTTTGTTTTCTGAACTTGGAATTATTAGATAACTATAACTTCTATAGTGTTAAGCATAGTTTGTTGGTTTAATTTGTGCCCTTAATCTGTGATTGAAGCTTGAAGAAGCCCTTTCCTTTTCATGACCAAGAAAACAGTTTTCTTTTGTTTTCTGACCCAACATAGTCAATGTAAACTACTCATTACAGCACTGATATCTCTTCCACTCTCAACTGTTCTTCTCTTACTGGAAGAATTTGTTCCCCAACAGGAGGAATGTTGCCTTCCTGTGGGATGTTAAAGCAGGTTTCCTCCACTATAGGGTGAACCTAGCAGGGATTAATGAGTTTTGAAAGAGAAGCAAGGAGATTGAGTAGAGTTTAGTCACTATTTTCCCATAACTGCAGTTGAAAAGAGACTGAGATAGGAGAGGAGGAAGAGGCAGGGAGAGGGATGGGTTCCCTCCTCTGAAGGGCAACCCCACTCAGAAAACAGGTGATAAAGCCCTATGTTTTGGTGGGTGTGATCTCTCCTGTACCTTGAAACAGGCAGAGGTCTCAAGGAAAGAATAACATTTAGTTATGCAATTTGTGTTATCGTTGGTAATGGCAGAGGTATAGAAACAACAAACTGAATTAAACATGCAATCCCAAATGGCATTATTTTATATTTTGAGACTCCCAATATTTTACATACTGAGACCCATAGCCTTCTGATGAGGATGGTGTCCAAAGGAATGAAGCTGCAGTCCTCCCCACAGCATATGTACAGTTCCAATCCCACTCTCTCCTCTCTGAATTTGTGTCTGCTGGCACTTCCTTGGTTTTGGGCAAAATAGATTCAATTCAGAGGGAAGGAAGAGGACAAAACTGCTGGAAAACCTGATCTTGTTTGATGGTAGATTTTTTTAACAAAAAATGACTGAAGGGAGAGGTCTTTGGGCTGTCATGATTTCTCTTCACCAAGAAAATAAGATTTGAAATGAGATATGAAGGGTTGAATGATTCCATGTATGAACAGGTATCAGGTGAGCTTTGGTCATCAGCTGCCATAGGGTCTGAAGCTTCCTCACCATGAATGGACATCCTATAAAAGCTGTTCAGTCCTGGAAACAGGAGGCATTTCTTTGCCTACTTTCAGGAGTGTGAAACAAGAAATGGCACAATTAGAAAATGCACTAAAGGAAAAAAGCTTCAGCAACACTACAGATCACCTATTTTGAAATCAGACAGTTACAGATAATGGAAGTCAGCCTCAGAAAAAGAGAACATTTCTAGGGAAAAGATACTTTGATCCAGTCATTGTTTAAAATACACATTTTTCTCTCGTATGTAGCACATGAGAAAAAGAAAGATTCTGAAAAAGAGAAGCCAGAGGAATTTAGAATAAAAACAGCTCACTCTGAATTAAAGAACGAACTTCCATTATTCAATAAAAAATTGAAAAGACTGAGAAGCTTATCAGACTAAATTAAATGAGGAGCTCACCACATTGTAGATGACTCATTGTGATTCAAGAAATTTATAACAGTGCAGAAGAAAACAGATGGTACAAAGACTCCTCCATAAAAAACACAGACCAGTGCTGAGCTCAAGAGCCAGAAACCACCCTTCAGCCTAGGACCAATGGCAAGAAAATGCTGCCCTTAAAGTGATTAAAACCCACGCTGCTCTTCAAAGCATTTATTTTTTTCAAATGGTTTCATTGGGTAACCATATTAGAGTTCTCCTGCAGCTTCTGGATTTGAAACAACTAATTAAAAGAATTTCCCATTGATTCATCATAGGGACATTAGAGCAGTCTTTAGGAATGGGAAAATAGGATTTACCTATCTTACAATCTGCTGGTTAAAAGGAGCTGTAACAATAAGTAGATAGGATCTCTAAGGTCTAATTGACTTCTGCTCTGGTGAGCAACAGTTATAAGGAGCTGAAATTTCTTCACAGAAATGAGTGCTCTTTAGTAGCACTTCACAACAAAAGAAATAGAAACTCAGATAGCTGTGCTTTTAATTGCTTGGCTTTATTTTTCTGTTCCTTCCTACAATAAATTTCTGACTGGAATCATAACTGGCAAAAACAGGATCATCCTTCTCCACATACAGGAAATGATCAATGGTGATTCTTCTGAGCCTTTTTGTTAAAAAGAACACTCTTTTTTTTGGTTGGTTGTTTTTTTTTTACTTGAAACAAACACAAATACACTTCTCATGTTCACAGCTTTATGTGCACATCTCTGCACTTGGATTAGAAGATTCATTGCTGGCACAGTGCTACAGGTGTGAGCCTTGCTGATTGTGCTTGTTGGTTTCACGTGCAGGTCAAGCACATGTGGTTTAGGGGAGATCTAAAATAATTTTGTTCTGTTAATTTCCTACTGAGCTGTTTCCCAGTAAGATAACTGGGATTATTTCATATACTGAAGTTTTGAGAGGCTCTTCCAGTGCACCATGACTGTGCTTTTGAAATGCACTTTGTCAAATGGAAGAACTACTGTGTTGAGCTCAGGCTGAAAACATGCATGAATTGCTGTATAAATTTGGAAGTTAGAACACAAAGGAAAATCCCTGCCATGCAGTACATATGAAAAGCTTGTAAAGCTTAGGCTATAATTTGAATATAATGTTGTATCAGCAGTCTATATTTTAAAAGCCTAAAAGAGTCAAGAATATAATTTTATCTACAGCTTAACCTCATGTTTTCTGTCACCAATATTAATAATTTTGCAAGGATGCCCAGCTGATGCCCATCACCTCTAAGCAGGCACATAGGGGGTACAAGATGTATCTCACAGGTTGCTATAGCTCCCTCAGACCCACCTGTAAATCACAGCTCAATGCCAGTGAATGATTCAAAATAACAAATAGTACACCAATTTATGTGAGCAGTGCCTTCCTAGGCCCTTGATCAGTGTTCAGCAATTACAAATCCAATATTTGCTAGCTCCTGCTTTCCTTTAAACAGACCTGACTTTGTATCTTGCTTGGAGAAGTTGATTGTACCCCAGAGAAATATTATGAGAGCTCAACTTCACCCTTAGTTTCAAGAGTAAAAATTTCATTTTAGCTGAGGGGGTAGTTATACCTACCCAGGGATAATATTTTGGTTCAAATCCTGTGAATACTTGTTATTTATTAGTTTGTGTTTTATTGTGTTCAGTTACTTACATTATGCTGTTTAAGGACTTCCTGAAAACCAGGTGAATCCTTTACTCTGCTTGGCAAGAAATATTGTTTTATTTTTTTTTCCTCTGATACCCATGCATCAGACCTGTGGTTAAAGTGGCAAAAGTGTAGAAGTTTTCTGTGTAAACTCTTACACTTTAGTAGGGCTTTTTTCTAGTTTTATATGTTGAGTTGTTGCTTTTTGGTTTTGTTTTTTTTTTCACATCAGAGAGGACAAAACTATTATCCCACAGAATAATTACCCAAAGGGAAGATCAACAGGGGATGGAAGTTAATTTTCTCTCTCAGATAAATGCATTATCACAGAGAAAAACGTGCATGTCTCTGTGTAGAGTTTCCCTTTTTTCAAAGACAAACACATGGGTTTGTTTTCTTCAGTGTTTGTTTGCATTCTAGAATTTATTTATTGTTTTCATTTCTTAAACATCCTGAAATGTTTACAGGAAAGAAAACTAAGGCGTGAAATTTTGTGACTAGAAGCAGATTCTCTTTTCATTTTCCTGGGGAGAGTCTTTCATTCAAAAGATAAAACCAGAAGTCATAAAAATGTGTTATTTTTAGGAGACAACTCCATGGAAACTTGGAAGTTAAGTAAGATTCAGAGGAGAGATGAATGGGGGAGGGTGTGTAATAAACTGATACTTTTTAGGGGAAAGACATACTGTGAAACCTGTGAACCACTTACAGTAGCAGGAGTGTTGATCTGAGTTGTGTTCAAGACTGTTGAATAATATGACTGGGTTTGCTGTAACATTTGGGAAAGCTGCACATCAATGCTATTAAAACCACATTAGTGCCTGGAGAATATTTCTACATGCTTGACCAGATTAATAAAATAAGCAAAGATCATTTTCTAGAACGCAATCTTTGCACCACTTGAAATCATTGCAGAGATAACTGTGCACTTTCTCTTCCAAAAAGGCAGAAAAACTGGTTCTTAAAATTGGTTAACCCCACAGGGAGATAATTTGGATCCTGGTTGCATCCATGCATGTTGGGCCCCTTCCAGAAGCTGCTTTTGCCCCCACTTTTCCCATACTCCAATCCCTTCCAGGGGCCTCCTGAGGGAGCTCGGTGCACACAGACACCTCACAAAGGGCCAAAGCGCGCAAAAAGGGATTAATCGCGTCTGTTTTAAGCTGTGTCGCTTTATTTTACCCCAAAGAGTAAACGGAATGTACATCCTAAACAGTTGAGGTGTAACATTTAATGAAGATTTGCCTGCATGCAGAATTTGCTGCCTCTGAAATGCGGTTCAGCTCCGGACGCGGTGCCCTCAGAGCCAGCAGCGCGGCCCGGCTGGCGCAGGAGGCAGACCAAACATTCCTTTTTTTGTGTTTTTGCACACAGCCATTTTTCAGAAGCTGCTCTGCACTTCAGCAGAGGAGTTACCAGCGTGTACTTGAGACATTAATTCCAGGTTATATGGTTTCCCTGAGAATTGCCATCTGTCACGCTTTTCTGTCTGGAGGTCACTCCGAGTTGCCTCGGGTTGGTATCCTCAGACAGGAGGTTGGAAGGATAAACCTTGTGCTTCGTCTTTAACCCTTAGTTATCCTTTTCCCTTTCAGCACCCACCTTGATAGGTATGGTAAGGAAGGACTGGGCTTCCCAAAACAGCATTGCCCTCTCCTGGCAAGAGCCGGACTTTCCCCATGGAGCAGTTCTGGACTACGAGATCAAGTACTATGAGAAAGTAGGTCACACTTACAGCATCACCCAGATCCTAAAGAGCAATGTGTTTCGTATTTTTAATAGTATTTTTTAAAACCTTTTCACTTGACCCCACATACAATGCTGTGTATGCCAGACGTTTTATTTTGTGCTGATTTTTTTTGTTGTTTTGCTTCTAACTTGTTAATGACTGTCTTGTTTCACATCAGAATCGAGTAGAGCAGCAAGCAGATCGTACATTTACTTGTCTCACAGTAACTACATTTACAAACATGGATTAATGGATCACATGCTTGAATATATTTTGATTTATGGACTGTAAAAGCTTCACATTAGAGTGATACTGAACAGAATTAAGGTGAATGGGAATGTGATATCATTTTGAGGCAAAAGATGTGTTTATTTATTATTGCTAAATAAAGCAATAATATGTGCTTAAAGGATAGAGTGTACCAGCCTTGTTTACAGGGTTACAAAAGGTTACAAGAGAGAGAAACTATCAGATTTCTGGTGTTTTGTTAAAATTAGTCAATTTCACACAGAGTAGAGCTACAACATGCATTACAAGGTGCACACACAGCATGTGTTGGGAAAGCATAATTTGAAGCCTCCTTCTTCATAAGCACAAAACATATTTGGTCATTTCCAGTTGCTACAGGGCCTCATACCAGTAAAAAAATTTTGTGCTGTCCAGTGCCTTCAGTCCTGAAGATAGACATAGGAAATTTTTGGTGTCTGTACTTTAAACAGGTCCCTGCTAAGTCGGTTCTTGCTCTTTCTCTGCCTCCATCTGAATTCACAGTGGAACTGATGTGCATGTATGAAGATCAGAAAGAACAGGAATACAAAACAAGTCATGAAAGAAAGTATGAGGGATATTAGGCTCTGTAAATATCTGAGAATTTTATTCCTTGACTGCACTTCTCTACTGAGATTATGCAGCTTTAATGATGCAGAAGAAAGGGTAAACTGGGGAAAAAAATCCTAACTATTTAAATAGGACAGCTAGAGGGAGAAGACAGATTGCTTAGAATATTTGGTAAGCCAAAGCAAGGAACCCTATTTTCTACACTAATGGAAGTCCTTCAGGTTCTTCCTTCAGAATCCATTATCTTAGTAAGCCCCATTATGACTTGAACTTCTTTTCTGCACTGATATTAAAGAGGTGAATTAAACACGACAAATTGTAAGATTATATTCAGTTGAGTAGGAGCGGTTCCAAAGTTCTGTAGCCATTTGTATGGATGGTAAATTATAAATCTTATATATGTATTTAATAAAATCCTTTCTCAATGGGCAATGTGCCAATGCCAGTCAGTGCTGAGTGACAAGGCAAATAATTTTTCTTAGAGATCTACTTATTCCTTTAACTTTGACCATTGAGCAGCAGGACTACATGCACAGGCTTTATGACCCTTTGCTAGATACAGTTTAAAACACCCTTATCTGTGTTTATGAAAAGAAAAGAGAAGAATTTTCTGCATCCACCTTTAAAAATACACAAGGAGTTTCCTCTATCTGTAAACTCTTTCCTCTGAGGTCAGGGGACATAAATGCACTGCTGGCATCTTTCAGTGCTGTGGCACAGGTGTAATTTGCAAGACCTCTCTTGGAGAGCAGGTTCTAGATCAGAGAGATGAATAATCCAGTACTGCAAGTCAGTCTGCTTATTTACAGCATTAAATTGGAAAATGTTATTTTATACCACTGTAATAATATTTAAATCTTGTTTTAATAATATTCAAATCAAGAAGCATAAATTAAAATGCTGGCTAAGTGTAGTGGCCAAATGCAAATGAAATTTTATATTGAGAAAGAAAAAGGGATGGTTCCTACCTCAAAGCCAGAAAATATTAATACATACAATTAATTTATTTTGATTAAGTTTCAATCAATTTTTTCTTCTTCACTGTGCAGCTCTGTATATTAGAAAGCATAGTTTGAGTTATGACAGGGGTAGATGTAGCCAGTGACACTGTAATCTCTCAGCCTTCCCAGGAACTCTGAAACAGGGGGATATCAGCATTCCTGTTCTCAGCAGAAGTGACAAAATAGGGATGTTGTTACATGCTCACAGGAAATACGATAAGAGTGAAATAATTTTCTACTGGATCCAGTATGAATTTATCACAAAGACATCCCTCTAACAGAGAGCAAAAAATGCAGGTAAAGTTGAAGAACATGTTAAATATGAAAAGGTCAGAAATTTTATTAATGTCTTAGGGAGTCAAGAAAAAGGCAGAAAAGAGTGGTTTTAGCTACTAATAAAGCATACTAGGTAGAAAAATGGGACAACTTTTGCAGTCTGTCTTTATCTCTTTCTACCTGTCATTTGCATTTAATAAAGGAGGTTTTTTTCTGATAAACAATATAAGAAATGGAATTTCTCCATCAAATACAACCACTCAATCCCTCAAATTCAGCTGATTTTATCAGCTTCTTAAATTCTTGAAGCTCTAAAGAATTATGCAATGTTCCAAAGTTTTACAAATATTTACTGCTATTTCTTTTAAGGTTCCTTGTTGACATTTGAAAAATTCAGTACATCATTGGTGAGCATGTTAGGGGAGCAACCTGCTTTTAATTATTACCATTATTATTGTGTGGCTCACAAATGGGAGTTGTATCTTGTCATGGGCTACCAAAGTTTCCTGGAAGATACGTAAACTTCAGAAATCAAATAGCTGCCCAATAAACTGTAAGCACTCTACAAAATGGGGCAATTTCCAACAATTTCTTAAGGAAGACTTAATGACTTAAGGACTTTCTTAATGATGATGAGCATAGAACATAAATATGCATCTTTCCATGCATTTCCAGAACAAGTGCAAGAAGGGAATGAGGCTACACTGTGCTAATGATGCAAGAAACTTGTATTTATACTCTTGTAAAATACAAATTACACACAGAGAACTATCAAAAAAATCAAGTCCTCTCTGTGAAAAATATTCTTCTGAGAAAGACTACCAAGTTATAAAGAGATAAAATAGAAAAAGAGTTATCCAGGAGTCTCAATAAGTTACAAGTATGGAATCATACATTAATTTCAAAGTACAGTAAAGCAGTTCAGTAATTTTTTTGCTTTAAAGCACCTCTTCCTATATGACCTTCATTTCTCCTGGGAATCGCTGTAAAACACTCAGAACTTCACGAAATATTGTCTCTAAAAATGAAAATCTTGTGGCATTAACAAAATCTCATTGTGAGCCAGTTGTACAGATTTGTAGTTTCTTATTTAGGAGTGCACTGGTTCATTTTTATGTGTCTGTCTGACAAGAGGTCATTTTGTTCTGCAGCCTTTCAGTCAAAAATGCAGTGAACAAAATCTGACCTAGGACATAATTAGAGAGCTGATTTGGCCTGGAGAACAAAAATTCCTCGACATTCAGTCCAAGATTCTCTGAGTTCTGTCCCAGTAAAGAGAAAGGGTTTCCATTGTTTGAATAGTTGTGTGATATAACCAGGGAGAGAATATCATGATCCTGAAATAATTGCATTGTTGAGGCCTGGTAGTTGAAATACCTGATTTCAGGTAGATTGTGACTCATTCTGTAAACTATACCTTGGATAATAAGTGAGTCTTTCCAGCACAGAAGATCAGTTAAATGTTTGCTGTTTGAGATCTGAAATTGCTCATAAAAGCATTTCTTCATAGACTTTCTCTGGGGTCTTGAGATCCTAAACATTGCAAATAATCTCTGTTGATACAGGGTGTCTGCCCTATTCTGCACTTTGTCCATTATATTTTATGATCCCTTGATATCATCCACAAACACTATTGCTAAAAGAAAAAAAATCTCTCATGGGCAGTATTGTCTTTCCCTTTAAAAATCACTCATTAACATAATCCCAGTGTCACTGCTAATTGCAATTTATTTTTCTTTTACACTTTAAACTATAACTCAGACACTGACCAAAGCTTGCACTTCTTGCAAGATTCCAGGACATCATCATCTCTTGACCTCTCATCAAAAGATGTCATGTTTGAGGCAGATGAGGGACTGAGGCTTTGTTAGAGCCTTGTAATGACACTGAGTCCTTGTGTAGGAATTCCCTCATGGGAAAGGGAACTGGGCACACAGTGGATATAACCCTCATCAGATGCACGCCAGGTTGTGCAGCTGAACTGGAAAACACTTATTCCTCCCCTTTCCATCCAAACCCATAAAGTTAATCATCAAAAATTAATGCTCCCCAAGACCTGTGTTAGGCACACCAAGCTGTGCACGTATCAGCAACTGCATTAAGTCTGTTCTCCCACATGGCCCAAGCACACCAGCTGGATTACATTTCCTGTTACACACAAGATAACATATAATTAGCTAAGGAAGCCTGTCTGTAGAGAAAGGATTTTAATGGAATGTACCCAAGCAGTAACCCAAGGCATTGCAGTGAAATCTCTAAACAGAGAAACCAGAGAATATCTTTAGAATCAGGATTTGGAGGAGAGGGCTGATATTTCTTTGCTTTCTTGTCTTCTGATGAAATTTAAAGCCAAGTCCCTTTACCGAAATTCTTCATTTTGTTGGGAGACTCAACTTGTAACTTAGGTAATTTCACATAAAAAAAATTAACCCACCTCCGCAGGACAGTGAGTGGACAGGGTATGTAGGATGTCAAATATTACTTTTCCTTCATCCCAGGATTATTTAGAGTTGAATTAATAAACAGAAGAGAGAAAATAACTGAGCAGTAGAGGCAAGGGGGAAATTAGTTTTCCAATGAGATTTGAAAAAGAGATGAAGAGCTGATGAGGCAGAGAGATAGGGGAAAGTACCAGATTTAAAGAATTAGAAAGCAGCGTGACCTTGTTAATTTTTCTATCAGTCTACAGCTGTCTTCACTTAACTCATACAAGAAATGATGCTCAGTCTTAAAATCTAATATTAAACCAAAGCCTGCTATTTCTTTGAGAAATCATTAATATGAATTAAAATGAGCCATCCTGAATCTGAGTGACAGATCTTGAGGTAAATTACATGATAGGAATAATGAGAAGTTTTAAGACTCTCAGTGCATAAT